CTCCTGGATAACTGTTCCAGATGCCCGCGAGGAACGACTCCAGCTCGCCCGCCAATCCAGGTGAGTTCCACGTCGCCTTCGCGGTCTGGGCCCCCGACCACGGGGCCCCGCGCTGGCCTGTGCTGCCGCTGTCTAGCGAGTCCGGCACCCGACCAAAATCATCCACCAATTCCATGACACAGAAAAGGCGAAGAGTTTACCTGTTTTTCTACAGCTATCCAGCGTCTCGCCGCTGCCACCAGTTGTAGCGTGTCCCGCTGCACAGGGTTCGACGCTGTGAAGAACGACACTCAGGTGCAACTCACTCTTCTGGTCACAAAAATCTCTGCTTTATTCTGTCGCATACACTACAATGTGCTCTTCCGACAAGGTCTTAACATGGCGCCTGAAGGCAGGGACTGCGCAGGCGCGAGGCGGGAAAACTGCGGGCCGTTCGCAACCAGCGCGGGAACCAGCCAGCCAATTCCATGCGGGTCCGAGCTTGCGCCCCCACCGGCCGGACCCGCCGGCGCTACAATATATTAAAATTCCGGTTGGGAGACTATAAAAATGAACAGTTAGCGCCATTTGTTATTTATGCGATTTTGATCGGAACCCATGCCCCCAGAAGAAGGCAATGCAATCTGAACGCATCGGCATATTGTTTCCGGTTATGCCTATTTTATAATTCGCAGTGATGCCATTTGCATAAAGCGGCAAACTTACAAAGGTCCCAATGCAGCGAAATCGTTTGTTAGATCTTTACTGCTAGACGAACAGGCAGTAAACAAAATATTTGAAAAACCAAAAATAATGCAATGGAACTTGGAATTATCCAAACAGCATCAAGAAAATAACACCTGTTGGATCTGCGAAAGTTTATTTGGCCTTCCCAGTTTGACGAATGTAATTATCCCAAACCAACTGAACCAAAGACAAAAATGGATAAGTTCAAATTGTCAAATGCCGAAAACAGCAGCTATAGAGAATACATTTGCATGGTATGTCAAAAGCCAATTAACCAGTTCAGAAAAGTTCGAGATCATTGCCATGTTACGGCTTAATACCGCGGTCTAGCTCATAATAGATGTAATTTACAATTGCTGATTACACCGATTACATTCGGCCCACAGCCTGAGGCTGTCTCAGCCCATTTGATTTCAGGAGTTAACTCACCCGATTAGGAACATAAACGGGCAAAATCGGATTCTGGCCTCAAAATCGTTTGAAAACAAACATTAGCCCAGAAAGTGACATTCCCGTTTTTGTTCGTAATCGGGTGCGTTGACTCCTGAAATCAATATTATAGAGCGATATTGATTTTTGCGTTTTCGTGTTTCACACTTTCTAAATAGATTCCGGCACTGTTTTCATATTCGGTTCGCGACGGCATTACATGTATTTTGGGGCCATCGTTGTCTGTACTAGCGCCCTCATCCATTTTGTATGAAGGCTTATTGTTTTTTCGTACACATTCCGGTCTGTGATTCCTGTTGGTGAAAAAAAATCTTAGTTGTTCACGTTGTTTCATAGCTAAGATACATTTCAGTGAAAGATTTATTTAAACATGGCTTTTTTTCTTGTAATTTGTTTGTGGACGTTTATGGGCTCTTTCTGCCATGCCGTGATCGGCCTCCGTAGAATTTCTAGCTGGTTACGTGAACGATTGCTTGCAGCCGTAAAAATAGCGTCCAGCCGAAAATCAAGCTACATGTAGCTAGTCGAAAATCCGGCCCGAATTTCGTGCCAATTTCAGCCTGGTCAATTTCAGCCTGGTGTCAGACAGTACAGTGGAGACATGGACACTGTTTAATCACTAATGAAAATAATTTCGATGAAATAACAGTAGGCCTACTATCAAGACTAAAAAGCAACTCACATAGTTAAGGTAGCAACAGTAAAATGAAATTACCATGAATCGGAGGCAGAAATTCTACAGTATTGACAGGCAACGAGAATTAGGCTTCAGGAATGAACGAGCCACAAGAGACGCCATCGTTGGTAAGAAATCATGGCATTCATTACCATTATTAGCATTGCTAGTACCCTTTTCCTATAATAAGGAAAACGAAGCTCGCTTTTTCATACTAACTAAGATTCATACCTTGAGGATCCATTCCTTAATCCTAGTAGCTCTAGTTTAGGTAAATTATGACAATATTTAAGCAAGAAAACCATAATTTTTTACCCAACATGCCCGAGTTTGGCGAAAGACAACTGCATCACGCCACTTTGTTACCCAACCCAGCCATTGTGGATATACTGAATTTCATAAAAGAAACTTTATGGTTCTAGGTCAAGGAACCAGACTACATGCGAAGGTTTGTCTTCGTTCACACCTCTTCTTCGCGTCATTTACGCTGCCATTTTACCCCATGATATCCCTCACATGGAAAATCAAATGAAATCTGAAGGATCAAA